CTTTGGCGTGGTAGCAAGGAGCTTCTCAGTACCACGTTGCGTAGACGAAGCATCCCTTGTCCATCTTTCCAGCGCAGGCACCCATCCTGCCCTGTGCGCCCGACCTGGTGCAGGGCCGCGACGTGGTACAGGTTCTTTTGGAGTGGGCGCACTGGTGCCCTGAAATCTAGCTGCTGCGGCGGCCACTGCTGGTCCTCTGGATCGTTGCCGATCAGCAAGTTGCCCCGCATGTCGCTGCTGCTTGCTGCCCCCAGGGTTGGGATCACCTGGGCTCTTCCGCTTCTTTTTCTTGAGCTTGAGATGATCGAGACCAAGAGGGAAGATCGATCGTCTCTGGCTTCGGCTTGGCAGTTGCCTCCGCCGCGGCTCTTGCCGGCATCCCAGGTACAGATTGCATGGGACCTCGGCAGGATTCAGATCGACACCGCCTGGCCTCCTGAGGGCCATATTCTTAGTGGGGACCTTGCGTTTATGTGCAACTAAGTACTGATGGGCGTTTCGTCTTTCGACTATGCGTGTCTTTATCCAGCCAATAGACTCGGCGCGGTGAAAAATCTGCCCAGGCGATAGACCCTATCTCTTGTGACAACGCACCCGGGGTCGATCGGGGCATCCGTCTCATACCCGAGTCGCTTGACTCACCGCCGCCAGGGGCAGCGTCCGCAGGATCAACTTCTTCAGCCATCTCATCATCTTCATAGTCACCAGCTTCTTGTTGGCTCTCTGCTTCCGAACTATGATCAGCAGGTCCCCCCGCATGCCACTCGCGATTGAACTGCATCAAATAGTGAGTAGGTATCAAGTTCTGTCAAATGAGGTTTGAACGAGCTGTTTCTTCAGCGGTGGCGGGGTCTTAATCTTTTTCCGTCAGCTACTCAAGATATGGCGCAGTGTTGGGATCAGTACAGTGACCCCGACCATCTCCATGAGACCAAACCCACGGCGTTCTTTAGAAATTCTGGCTTCGTGATGGGCGTCTCATGGGGCAGCCGAGCCCGCGGTCAGCGTAACTGGAGCATGTACAGCAAACGCCCCTGTAGAGCTTTCGATCCTCGATGAAGGCCCTTTTGAGATCGCGCTTGGCAATATTTTCTGGCGATTTGGTAGGCCCCGCCTTTCAACGAATGACGTCGCCTGCATCATCTCGCTTGACCTGGCGAAGAGAACACCAATGCTAACCCCTTTCCAATCAGTATGCCATCTGGTTTGCGGGCATGCACTGATGAGCCAATCCAGCCTCAGTGTAGCATTCCAAACGCAGCATGTTACCTTCTGGATATTCTCCTCCTCGACGTTGGTCATCTCGAGGCGGGTTTCCCCAAAGACAGCCCCCCCTTGGGGGAGCACATGCTCTCGTCGCCTGCCACGGCGGGCCCTTTGCGGCCCCCGCATCAGGAGGGCGAGAGCGCTGACCACCGCTCGAACGAGCACCGCTAGGGCGGGCTCGCGCACGATCTGGTGAGCGACTGGGAGCCCGACCGCGACGTACCACGCGGCCATCGTCTTCCCGCTCGTCCTCCTCGTCCACTGGGGAGCGATTTGGATCACCATGACAGCTCATCCTTATCAGGAGTAGGCGGATTGGCGATCGTCTCGGGCTGCTGGCGGACCGATCTGATGCAACGAAAGTACACCGAAATCCCCCATCATGCACAAGTCCAAATTGAACACGCTCAGATAGATCACCAGCGTCGCGAGGGTTTCCCCACAGTGGACCATCATCAATTAATTCCGCGTTTGTCGGATTTCGAATCACCCGAGGATGAAGCACCGCATGTATTTCCTCATCTGCTGCAGGAATGGTGAAATCTGAGTCCGCGGGTGCCCCCGCCATGCCAAAATCGCCCTCGACGGGCACGTGGAAGTTCTCGACGCGATACCTGCGGGTTGCCCCGCGATGGTACACCCAGCCATTCTGCCAAGTCGATATCGTCGTGGCCACTGAACACCTCCTCGAACAGCTCGTCGGCGAAATTCTCGAGGGTCACGCTGGCACTCAGATACGCGGCAGCCATGAAATGAACCATTGTGGCTGGGCCGTCGGCAGGGTCGGCTAAAAGCGACTCCCAATCAACATACTGCATGTCGGAGTCCGTTCGAGCCAGATGTATTGACGGACCCCTGCCTCTCCCATCACCGCGGGGGCAGTCGCGCCGAAAATGTTGCGTGCTGTGACATATGTCGCACTCCATGGTTTTACCGCTGGCACCCTTTGGATTTCCTCGTCGCCCTCTACCTCTGCCTGATGTATGCCCGCGGTGTCTGCTAATACCTTAAAACATTTCCTCATACTGAGGTCCAGTAAGAGACGCTAGGTATGCTAGTATGCCTCTACCATGTAATCGCCGACGCTCACCGTTGCCTTTGATTCGACCCTTGCCTTTTCCTTTAAATGAGACCATCGCGCAATACGTCTTACCCTTCGGACCGGATTCTTCATGAACCTCCGCCAACGACGCTTGCGTTTTTGATAGCCCGAAAAAAAACATTGAGCTCGCTGCTCTTTAGTAAGGTATGTAGACATATCAGAGTAATCCAAGGCGGTAGTTTCATCATCGGAAGACGCATCCGCATCGGTACCAGAGTCGAAGTCGGACTCGGCGGGTTGCCCCGCTGAGCCCATTCGGGCCATAGCTTGCACGGGGGAAGCCACGTCGGGCGGCCCCCCAGATCTGGCCCAGGGGCCTTGCGACCCCGAGGCCGCTCCACCATTCTGAGCCAACAGTGTAATGGTCTCAGTTGGCTGTGGATCATCGTTCCCGACGTTGTTGGCAGGTTGCCCTGCGTTGGCCTCTGCGTGGAAGGCCTCGGTTCGGTGACCGTGGCTAAAGATACCACCAATATTGCCAGGGGTCCTGTCAGCTATGTGAGCATATGACCTCATGCGTTCAAGTAGAGCGTCGAATTGTGGTTGGTCCCTCGGTATGCGGTGGTTCAGAGGCTGCAGGAGTTGCTGTGCACGCGATGTCCCCACTGCAAGAGCTCTGAATGGGTTTGCTGCTACGATTTGGAAGTTGGGGATGTTGAAGCCGGCGGTTTCGGTTTCGTAGCGGGCTATTTCGAGCCTGCTAACGTCTTTTCGATACGTTCACCCGCATGGACTCGAAAGTCAATGAGAGCCGCGCCAGGGTTAAGTTGGCGTTCCTCTTCTAAGTTCTCGAACTTCGCACTTAAGAGGAACATAAATCTAGGTGACGCCGTCGGTGTGGCGACCGCCTATATTGACGCCAAAATTAATAACTGCTGGGGGGACACTCATGGCTATAGTCCGTGCGAGACCCCCCGAACCTCGCTGCAGTGCGGCGGCTTGCTGGGAAGGCGTCATGTTGCCTGTGGTCACATTGATCCAGGCATGTACTTCGCGGACGAACACGCAAAAATGTACTTGACCGGCAGGGTCCCACTGGGGGCGAGTCGTTCTAGTGTCGTCTCCGCCCCGAATATGTCCTATCGCACACCGAATAGCGACCCTTAGGGGCCCAAAGATAGCAACCCCAATCCAGTGGCCTCGTAGGTCGTAGTCGGATGTACTCGGTGGGGACTTATGTTTTGTCGTCGTACGTCTGCGTGGGGTCGGAGGCGGCAGCATATCGTATCGCATGTTTCCATGCATTCTGTCTTCGAAGAAATTTTCAATTGGAGTAGGTGGGTGGACTTCAGAAGTGTAATAGCGCAGGGATGTGAGATGTGAGTAAGAGACCTCCGCTTAAACAGAACTATCGCTGCAAGTTTCCTTGCGGTACTGTGTAACTGTGTACACTCCTGCGCGCAATCCAACTGCACCCGGATGTTCCACCGGATCTGTAGTCCGCAAGATAATGCCGTGAATAGTGAGGAGTAGAGCGAGAACTGACCATCATAGGCCGACTCCGCTGCCAAGTTTAAAGAGGGTTGGAAGGCCCAGCCAACAGCTTCGCCTCAGGCGAAGCCAAGCTCCAGCTCTGTTGTATCTTAGCAACGATAGTCCCAGTATGAGAGGAGATGTCATCTCAAGCACTAGGAAGATCCTTTTGGTCTCGATAGCGACTGTGTGCCTCGCAGTGAGGCACAGTCAAATTTGGGCGGCCGGCCGCTTGAGCCGACGCGGCCGCGGGCGCACGCTCGCTTCCACTCCTTACGTCCCTCAGCTCGCTTTAGAATCAAGAGGCCGCCAAGAGAGCTCCAAGACGGCCCAAGAGGGCTCCTGACGGCACAAGGGGCGCCCAAGACTGCCAAGAAAAGCACCAAAAGAGCGCCAAGACGGCCCCAAGAAGGGTCCTAGAATGGGAACATGAACCAAGCATCTGAGCTTTCTGCCACAAGATGCCCCCGGCAAGCCCCCTTGCCTTCTCGAATAGTCGCCACCCAGAATGCTGCGTTGGCAAAGTGGCGGAATTGCCAACGGCAGTTGGATATATCGACCAAATGAAAATTCTACCAAACACGATGCACGCCGTGAACTGGCCGCGACGCCTCCAGGTCTGAGGACGAAGGTATAAGGAAGGCCCTCCTCCTCCTCCTCCTCCTCCAACACCAAGCTCCAGGTCGCCCCCCTCCTGACGAACGAACAGCAGACACCCCCACCCATCGGGGGGCTGACCCGCGCCTCGCGATCTGAGGCTCCGCGGGCGCAGGTTGTCGGACCCCGCAGGGAGGCCCCATTCGAGCGGGGACCACATCTGACAGCACACGCCCGTGGCTCCCCCCCCCAGAACTCCACCCCAAGAAATCTGGGGATCGCGCAAGGTACTGATGCTGGTCGTCAGCTCATGACTCTGAGGCCGCGCCCAGGGTGGGGGGCAGCAGCATGTCCCCCCCCGCCGTCGCCCGATCTGGCCCCCAGTCGTCGCCGTCGTCGTCGTCGTCGTCGAAGGAAGAGGAGCAAAGGAGAGGGGAGGGGAATCAGGAGAGAGAAGGGGAGAGGGGAGGGGGAGGACGAGGAGAACGACAGGAGGAGGCAAGGAGGGAAGGGGGGAACGGGCATGGATCGAACGCCGAGCCCCTACCTGAGGCCGTCTTTTGTGGCCTCCTGGCGCGAGGCTCCGCGCCTGGCGGCCCCGCGCGCCGCGCTGCGCAGGGCGCTGGCCGCGGGAGGTCTCCCCAGCGTGGCGCGGCTCGGGGGGGAGCCCCCGCCGCACCCAGCACAAAGCTCCGGGTCGGTCCGCCCTCCGCCTCTCCCCGTTCCATCCTCCTTTCTGCTGCTCCTCCGGCCGCCGTCCCTCCTCAACCATCCCCCCTCCTCCTCCTCCCGCTCCTTCTCCTCCTCATCCTCCTCTACCTCTCCTCCACATCACTCCTCCTCATCCGCCCTCCTCCACACTCCTGCTCATCCCTCCTCCACCCTCCTCCTCTCTCGAGTAGATGGGGTCGGGGACCGCGCCGCATCGCCGACGCATCGGCGACGCTGGCGATGCATAGGCGACGTCGGCGTGGAGAAAATCTGGCTGCGCATCGAGCCGCATCGCCAGTGCATGGGCCATGCGGCGCGATCCTCCGACCCCATCTGATCTGGCCCCATCTGAGGTGCCCGGATTCCCTCCGTCCCCTCTCACCGCCTCCCTTTGGCACCACCAGGGGGTGCATCCACGTCCGCAGCTACCGGAGCAGCGCCCTGGAACCATCAGGAGCGGTTGATGCGCAGACTGCTGCACCCTGGGAGGGCAAGCAGGTGCCCACATCCACCAGCTCCTGGGGAGGCCCTCCGAGGTGCTGAGCCCGCCTCTGGGGCGGTGGGTGTGGATGGGCTCCCCTCCCCGACCAGCCACATCTGGGGGGACCCGACCTCTGGGGGAACCCATCGCGTCGACGACCCCTCGAGGAAGGCGGGGGGGGGGGGGCGGGAAGCCGATGGGCCTCCGGGAGGGGGGAGGAGGTAAGGACCACAGCTCCCCCAGTCATGCCGCCCTCCCTCGTCCTTCGAGAACACCCGAGGACCTCCTAGAACCTCCTCACCCATTCCCCTCCTCCCCCTATTCCTCCATCCTCGCTCCCTCTCTCCGTCAATCAATCGATCCCTCTCCAGCCCGCACGCCCGCCCTCCACTCACCCACCCTCCTCATCCTCCCTCCTCCCTTCCTTCGTCCCCTCCCTCCTCCCTCCCTGGAGGGTTGGACCAGAGGGTGTAACAAGGGTCTCCAAGGCACCACAGGCTGCCTCAGAAATTGAGGGATGGGCGACGCGCAGCACCCCCGTCGGCGGCAGCAACCTCCGGCACCGTCGCGCACAGGGGGGAGGAGAAGGAGGAGGAGGAGGAGGAGGAGGAGGAGGAGGCGGAGGAGGAGGAGGCGGAGGAGGAGGGAAGGGGGAGAAGGGAGGAGGGAAGGAGGAGGGAGGAAGGGGGAGGAGGGGGAGGAGGAGAAAGAGGACACGGACAAGACGTGGGGAGGCTGCTCCCTGTCGGTGGATCCACCCTTCGGAAGCTGTGGGGGGCCTTTCCAACAAAAGGAGGGTTTTCGGAGGCTACCCCCCCCAGGTTTCAAAGCGGGAGGCGGCTTTGGAAGCGTCTCTCTCTCTCTCTCTCGCTCTCTCTCGCTCCCCTCCCCCGTTCGAGGCTGGGGGCCTCATCCAAGCCGCCCTCCTCCATCTAAGAAGCCCTCACCCCCCCCCCCGAAGGGAGGGGGTCCTTCTGGGGTGGCTCGGCGGGCACAACTTCGCTGTTTTGCTTGTTGTTTTTCTTGTTAGTTTGCTCCCTGCCCTCCCAGGGGGCCAGAGGCATGAGTGTCAGAGCACTTCGATCCTCATCCTCCTCCACCTCCTCCACACGTCCAGGAGGAGTCGCAAGAAGAAAAGGAAGAGGAGGAGGAGGAAGAGGAGGAGGAGAACGAGAAGTCTCCCTTCTTATTATTCTTAGCATTATTATTCATATTATTGTTTCTTTCCCCCACCCCCCACCCCCCAACAAACACACACACACACACACACACACACATTGTAAGTCAGCAGCGCAGAGGGCCCTCAAGCGCGAGCAGCAGATGAAGTGCGAATTGCCACCGAGCATTGTCGATAGCGCAGCGTACAAGCGTCGCACACTGCACAATGCAAGCGATGGGTGTGTGTGTAGGAGCTATGGGTCCAAACGAAACGTGCAGCGGCCAGAGGACGAGGAGAATACACAACTCAAGGTGAACTGAAGCGCGACAGCCCAGGGCAAATTGCGACCACTGAATCACCACGGTGGAGGAGGAGTTGCGCTGGGAGTTCAGTGTTTTGGACACACGCCTCAACGACTTCATGACAATTGTGAACAAGCGCCTGCAGTCCGTGGAGAGCAGGCTGGACGTCTCAGAGGTCAGGATCGAGAAGCTGGAGAGCATGCTAAAAAAATCGAGTCTTCCCAGCCACCCAGCGCAGCTCCACCTCGAAGCGCCATTCAGCACGCAACGACGGACAAGAGGCACATCTCGGCCGTGATTGGCAACCTGGACGCGTTGAGCAGCGTGGCGGAGGCGACCACGTGGCTGAAGGACAAGCTGATGGCGTTGAAGGGTCCGGCCCCAAGCAGAACATACTCCAAGGGGGATTTCAAGGGCATCCTATTCGCGGAGTTCCAGGGCGCGGAGAAGGACACTGCTGTGGACCTCCTCCGCGCGGCGGGTCTCCAGCCAGGCGGAGGGAAAAATTTGTGGGCGACGGCTGATCGTCCTGCTCGAAAGCGTGCTGCCTGGAACTGTTGTTCCGGCCTGAAGCGGTTGTTGAAAAAACTAGTGGCGGATCCAGTACCACGTGAAGACATTCGACGAGGCTCCGTACCTGCTCACAGCGGGGGGCGAGAAGGCGGGGACGGTCCACGTTGACGACAACGCCGCGCGGTATGAATGGCACGGCGATTGGAGGACATGGGACGAGCTGCAGAACAACCAGGCTGTGCAGGACGTGCAGTCAGTTCGGCTTCAAGTCGAAGCATGGAACAGCGGACGCCATTTTCCTGGTCTGGCGAATTCTTGACAGAACTTGAGTCGAATTGGACGGGCAGGTCGTCCTGTTGGCTTTCGGTTGGGCGACAGCCTTCGACAGAGTCTCCCCGGAGTCTCTAACATCAGCTCTCGTCAGGTTTGGCGCGCCGACGAAGTTCGTGGAGGTGGTGCGGGCGATCTACCGGGAGCGCAGTTTCTGCGTCCGGGATGCCGGCTCGACATCGGCGCCAAGGGCGCAGGAATTCGGCATCAGCCAGGGGTGCCCGCTGTCGCCTATTCTCTTCGGGATCGTGATGACTGTGTTGCTGCGGGACGCGAAGGAGAAGGCCGGGCCGCTGCTCGACCTCTCCCAGGCGGTGCATGAATTGGTCTACACCGACGACACACTGCTCGTGTCTGACGAGTCCGAGACAGCGACGGCATACATGCGCAGCATCGAAAAAGACGGATCGCAGCGCAGCATCGAAAAAGACGGATCGCAGTACGGGCTGGAGTTCAATTGGCGCAAGCTGGAAGTTCGATCCGTTTGATGCGATGCGCACAGTCCAAGGCCAGACGGTTCATGGGTGCCGCAGGAAGAGAGCATTCAATATCTGGGCAGCTTGATTTCAAACGATGGGAAGATTGGCCCTGAACTCTCCCGCCGACTCGGCGCCACGAGGGCGGAATTCGACAAGTTGAAGCGAGTGTGGGGCCATTCCACGCTGACGCAGTCAAGGAAGCTGGAGATCTTCAGCGCTTATATCCTCAGTAAACCGCATTATTGCCTGCATACGGCCTTCCGGAATCAGGCAGAAACGAAGAGGCTCGACGCATTCCACGTGAAATGTTTGACCCGCTCTCTGGCCAGCACTTTTTGTCAGTCGAAGTGCAACGCTGGCGATTTATCATGCGGGACCCTGCGCACACGCTGGATGACGCCAGCGCAGGAACAGAGACTGAAATCCACAACAAAAAGTCTGTCGAGGCGAGGGCTGGCTTTGGGCGGACAGAAAAAGGCTTGAGAGACAGTGTCCATGGCGATCGTCAACATTACCATTGACATTAGCATGACCCGCTCTCTGGCCAGCACTTTTTGTCAGTCGAAGTGCAACGCTGGCGATTTATCATGCGGGACCCTGCGCACACGCTGGATGACGCCAGCGCAGGAACAGAGACTGAAATCCCGTAATCACGCCATTCATATGCAGTAAGCTGGCTAGCAAGACGATTCACAATTGGCTGAGCGTGGCCACAGCACGGCGATGGACTACATGAATGAGAACATCGCCGATGAACTTAAAAATCTCTGGGGGGTATGGCTCCGCAACCTTCGAGAGCCATTTACCCCCCATCTTCCCTCGGATGTGCACATGTTTACGACCAGTGAATGAACAGAGCCCCCCGCGACCATGGCAGCGCAGGTGCGGGGCTTCGACCGTGCCACAGTGCTGAAAGACTAGCTTGGTTCTCTTGCGCATGGGCCCTCCAGCAGCACAGAAATCCACATCGACCACGGAGCCGCGAGCGAGAGCTCGGCGCCGAGAAGGAAAACACCAGAGGATGGAGGTCTGTGGGTTCTCTTCGCCGCAGCAGATGCCCAAGTCCCAGGCGAGCTGCTGGAGGCGGCCTCCAGAGTCAATGAGACTATTGGCATCGCGCACCTGTGCGCGGTGGCTAGCAGACAGGTCAGGCAAGCCACGGTAGTGCTCAGACGATCGCAGCGGCGGAGGCATGCGACCTGATCTGTCCGCGCGGGCACGAATGGTGGTGACACACGGAGTCGCAAACCAGAGGGCCCACACCAGGCCCGCACGAAGCCAGCCGGCGATGGTGAGCACCACCTCGCGCCGGCTGAGGTCGAACTGCGGCCCTTGCAGCTTGTCGAAGGCTATGCAGGCGTAGCCCTTGCGGCGAAGGTATTTGCTCACCGGCGCAGTGCCAGCAAAGAGGTCAACGAAGACGCTGTGCTTCAGCATGGTGGCATCTGCACGCGCCGCCCGCAGGCTGGCAGCAAGAGCCGGGCCAGCTCGCGCTCGCGGCGCTGCGCCTCCTCGCGGAGCTGCGCAGGGATGCGGTGCATCATCGAGGCCAGCCTGGCATGCTTCTCGTAGCGCCGCACGCTCTGGAACGAGCGCCAGCCGCCCCTCTTCTGAACGTCGAGGAGGGCCCGCGAGCGAGAGGACACGTCCTCCGAGGCCCCCCCGTGACGAAGGGAGTACGGCGTCACCTTCAGCTGCGCCAGGCCCAAGCCGAGGAGGCAGCTGTTCCAGGCCAGGAGGAAGTCGGTGTAGTGGAACACGAAGAGCCGCTCCCGCTCCCCCCTGTTGGCCTTCAGAAGGCGCAGCGCTGACTCCAGCAGGCGGTGGCGCGGCAGGTCCAGGGCGACGCTGGTGTCGAACTCGCCGGTCTTGCCAAGCACGTCTAGCTCGCTCGCGCGGATCAGGATGGACCAGAACTGGCAGGCCCCCCTCTCGTTCGGCACGGGCGGCACCAGCTGTAGGCCGAAGAGGCTGAGCGCCTCGCTCGGCCGCATGTACGTCTCGAACGTCAACAGCAGGAACAGAGCGTAGTCCGCCTTGTCGTCGGAGCAGAGTCGCAGGGCCATCAGCACAGCCAGCGACCGAGGGACTGGCGGGCGCGACAACGGCTTCTCGAGCCGGCGCCATCCAGTGACCGCAGCAGTCGCCAGCGGCAAGCCCCGGCGCAGCGGACGCGGCAGCTCGGGCAGCGCCCAGCGCACTGCGGCCAGCGTGCTGGAGGCATCCCCCTCGGGCAGCCCGCGGTCGTGCAGGAACTCCACGTACTGCTCCAGCAACAGGTCCCACTCGCTTGCAGGGAGGCGCTGAGGGGCTCTGGGCACGTGCAGCCACGCCAGCAGCTTGCGCAGGGCGTTCAGGTAGTTGCCCTGCGTTGCCGTCGTCACGGCCGCGGCAGCCAGGGAGCTGATGTGGAACCCCAGCTCCTCCGCCTCCTCCGCACTGCGGGCGGCCGAGTGCAGCGATGAGCCCGGGCGCCGCCGCGCCGTCTCGCGGCGCTGCCGGCGCGCCGAGCCAGACTCCCCGCGATAGGGGACCGGGCGACCCGGCGCAGGTTGGCGGGCCAAGCCCAGGGGGCCAGCAGCAGCCAGCGTGCGGCAGGGCAGCCGGCCCGAGGCCGGCGCGGGCTGCAGAGGGGGCGGGCTGGCAGGGGAGGCGTGGCGGCGAGGCAGAGCAATGCCCTCCGGCCGCGGCCTCCCGAGAGCCACGCCGCCCCCCGTCTCCGGCGCCACCAGAGGGCGCAGCACCCGACTCGGGGCAGGCGGGGCCCGGCT